CTAGTTTTTCAAAATTCACCATGATCACCCAACGGGGCCGGTTAAACATCCAATTTTACTCAGATTAAACCATTGTTCCATTGACTGCACAATTAACAATGATTTTATACGGGTTAAGATGCATTGCTTTATAAGACACGTTTGGTCGTCTGGTGGGTAAGCGGAAAACGGTAATGAAAGGATTGCAGTTAGTAGTTTTAATGTCAAAAGGATGGATTTATCGAATTTATTGCAGTAGCCATGCACTTCGAGTGTTGCCATGGCTACAATAAGCGAAAAGAATAACTCCAATGTACTTCCTGGGAGTAGGATGGAGAGTAGTTTCAAGTAACAACAAATAAGCGTTGGAGTGCGTCATCCATTGGTCTTTTAAATATTATTAGTGGCCAAGCAGAAATAACCGATTCGGGGAGAGCGTTCCATGGCTGACACATGTGAATGGAACAAATTTGCTACGGCACTCCAAACGGCTGTGCTGTGCTGTTTTATTTCAAGGAGTGATCACTCAGGTTGGTGTTACTGTTGAGTTGCAGTAAAGAGCGGCACACATGGTTTGAATTAGATAAAACAAGTACGTCATAAGCTAGTGATCTCGTAATCGGTGACAGCGCCCGCTGAATGCTACCAGAAATGTCACCTCCCGCTCATATGGAACGTGGCACATTCCAAGGACGTATTTAGAATCCCGACGTTGAGGTTGGTCTAATGCAGTGAGATCGTGCTTCAGCCATAGCTGCCAAGCTTGAATTGCGTATTCGACATGGGGGCGCACATAACCGTTGAGCATCTTGCTGAAAATAGAGGCATTGGTGGTTTCGTGAATATGTAATTTTTGTAGAAAGTAGCAGCTGCGAGTAAACTTTGCACAATAATCTGCCTTGACGGGGAATTGAACCCCGGACATACGGATTACCGGTCCGGACCGGTAAGTGGGTGAGAAATAAAAAAGAAATCGACAACGCTCACTCGTATGTTTCTTCATTTGACAAATGTGGCGTGTTAAACCAGTTTAGCTACATCCAAGCTAATCATCTAGGCACTTCTGCATGTATCATCACCGCCACGTTACGGAGAGGGCCGCTAAGCACATGTTTAGGTTTGCGTTACTTCGTCCTCCAAGTAGAACGGACTAAATCAAGTACTACAAGTTTGAAAGGGTTATATCAAGGCACTTTTTGAAAAGCGTTAATGTAGGGGCAAGAATAACGTGAGTTGTATAGGCCATCCAGTTCTCGGTGCTCCGGAAGAGTTTGTAGATATGCCAGGCGGAGTTTCTCGCTGTTGTACACTTGTGTGTCCTGCTTCGCAGAAATGAGACTACGTTTCTCTTACGGTAGGTCTTATTCGCTGACGCTTTGACACCCAGAGTTAAACTGGATACGGAAATGCTCCCATGCACTAGTTGGTGCCTCGTTTTCCAGAAGGGTCCAGTTGGCTATCTCACCTAGTCGAATTAAAACATCGCAGCGCATAATCGTTTCTGTTGTGTCGGCGATTTCCACGGGATATTCTGCATTGCAAATGTATTAGAAGAGTAGGACTACATGATTGTTGCAGCCCAGTGGGACGTTGACGATCACGCTCTCGAATATTGACTATTCGTTGGTGAATATCCGATTCAGTATTGACGGCTTATCTGTTTCTCGGAATCGGGTGGGGTGTTGACTTGGCCATACCGCGGGTAATTGGAGACAAACTCTTTTAGATCCACCTTAAACTGTTTTCCGGATGCATGGGACTGCAGAGAGTGGATGTTGCAATCGCCAATAATGAGAATGTGACTATAAGTTGTGTTTATCACCCTCCTTATTGCAGATGCCAAATAGAAGCTTAGGAAACATCTATTGGTCTTCGCTGAAACCATCGCGATCATGGTGTCGAACTTAGAGCTGCGTAGACAGCGAACTCAAGTACAAGCTTTGAGTTTGCCTTGACCATGAAATCGTTCCAATATTAATTGTGCAGCGTTGATCAGGTTACTAAGTTTCGTTCCATAAATCTCAGTTTAATGCACAGCAGCGGTAATGCCACTGGTGTCAAACCATCTGCAGCTACCTTCCTGTGCCACCCATTGGATATCTAACGGCAACAGTCCTTTCGAAGGAAACGCTGTCCCGTTTCCCTTGCGGCGTCCAAGATTTGCACTCTAAGGTAAATAGGTCAACAGGCTGCACGTTTTACATCCTAGTTATTGACATGATGTGTCCTAAACTGGGAGTGGCCGGATTAACTGCAGCCGTACGCAAGCGGAGACGCTGATGCGGCAAACACTGGTCAGACTGGTGTTAGCATCGTTCCCAACTCCAAGATTGAGTCATCGCTGCTTGATTGGACACCCGTGAGGAGCCCGTTTGGTGATCTCGACTGAGGTTGGGTGAAGAAGTAGTGGAAGACGCTGTTTGTTAGTGGTTTCCGCTTATATACCTACCGACCACAGTTCTGATGCTATCACGGACACCCTCTACCACGAACTGAACACGATGCATCGAAGTGCTATCAGCTTAGGTATTGTTGTTGTTGCAGGAGATATGAATGTCCAATTAAGTCGTCTGAGCTCTTCAGTTCACCTAGGTACTAGTGATGGAGTTAAATTCGACCGTGCGGACAATGGCGTGCGTCTGTTTCAGCTGTGTGGCGATCACCCGCTGTAGCTTAGTAACATCACTGTTAGGCAGGTGGCGCTTCGGCACCCACTGGCGTTCCCCTACAGATGGTCAAGGCGATGGACTCAAATAGACGACGTTGCCATAAACTATGTGGCGTGGTTCCATCCTGAATTGTCGTCCATACTGGAGTACTTGCGTCGACCCCGATCATGCCTTGGTACGCTGTCGTTTCTCCATGAAATTTACCGGGAGACGTACCAAGCGTCTCCTTTGATTGGCAACTGAAAAGTTATCCCAGCCCTCGGTCCAGCAACCTACTATGATGTTCTGCGCACCATGCTTTCGTTCCCTCGTCCTAATGACATTTGGCTTCACTAACTTAGTATGTCAACTGCTAAGCACAACGCCGGAGCCCCTGCTTACGGCGATATCGACCGTCACCGCACCAGTCACTGAATACAGAAGAAAACTCCAGGCTGGCTCTGAGGGCAATCTAACCAGATGGATTACTAAGCGCGAACTAAAGGGGAGCCTGTACGCCGACAAGGAAGTCCGGTGGACCAGAAGGCTTCAAGAAATGGAGGCGGGAGTAGCAGGGAACCATCGTGAGCTCTTCAAACTGATTCGCACCACTGGTCCTAGAAAACCCGCGCCAGTGAGACGATCAGAGACAGTGCGGGATCTCTGATTCCCAACAAAGCGCGCTGCATGGTTCGTGGGCGGAGGACGTTCGGTTGGCCTCTCGCTTCCGGACCACTTCCCAGTCAGGTGATGCAAGATGAGCCTGATCGGTTAGTATAGTGGTTCAATCAGAAGCTGCGGTCTGAAACGCAATCACATGCCTTAATTGTTTTCGAGCTGCTGGCTCGGATTCCCTCGACCCTCCCTACTTAAGAATAGTGGTGGGGTCATCTGAAAAACACTGACCTTCCTGTTCGAACAGGTCCGGAAAAAGATCATCCCAGCTAGCTGGAGTGAATCTATTATAGTGGCCATATACGAGAACGGTAGACGTATAGATGCGCCAAGCACAGAAGTATGACTAACGCCAGTGGTGACAAAATTACTAACTTCAATTCTCGTTCGTCGCCTCATTGCGGAACAGGAATCCCGGATTAGGAGAGAGCGAGCAGGATGACAGATATTTCATACCGCTTAGATAACCAGCTGTTCACAATTGGTATTTCTCCTGTGCATGTATTCAACCCAGACAAAGCTTTCATGAGTTTAGTTACGTTAGCATTTTGTTTTACATGTGATCTACCGAAAAGAATGTTTTTCGCGCAAATGTTGACAACATGGTAACACTTGGTGAACTCGAGTTAGTTGGCAGTTGCATCAACAACGATGGGCAATAAGCACCGAGGTCACTTCACACATTGCAAATGCTAGAACTATCTTCGTGAATCTGCGGCGTCAGAAGAGGGTTTCCCTCAGTCGAAAAAGGTCACGTATCCAACATCACAGTGAGACTGCTCCTACTTATTTGGGGGTGATACTTGGTCGCTCCGATCTGAAGCGCCTTCAAATATTTGATCATCGCCGCCTGCGAAGTAGAGCTGCTGTCGGGTGGCACCAACATGTCCCCAATTATGGTGTGGGTAGGCGAGTACTAGGCAGTGATAACCAACCTAGCTCTTTAGAACAACAGATAGCACAGAATAACTTGCATGGACTTAGGCACCAACCACGTATGTCCTGTCACCATTTCTCGAAAAGGGCATTGTTTTGTCTGCCAGATGTAGGGTAGCACAAGGCTCGAGGTGGACAAAAGTTGACTTGGCAGCGGGAAATGAAGTTATTGACGATCAAACTAGGTGCCGTCGGTGCGTCTCGCCCTTCAGGCTGGAGTCCACGTGACTCGCCTAGTGATTGGCTCGCAGCCGGCATCAGTGGCCCGTCTGCTGCCGTCTCGTAGTCGGACTGCCTATTTTAAGTGTGTTTAATGTTGAGTTATCTGAGGGGTAATGGCTGCATATGACGCGGGGCAGTGAAAACAGCAAGGAAGCTGTCTCATCGATGCCACCTTATCCTTGCACGGTAGTCAGCTGTTTGTGATGACATGTTGTTATCACAAGATGTAGTTGCCATACCCTTGGATGTTTGCTCAGATGATTAATGTTTTACGTTAGGTCCCCTTTCCCTGTTATTATTCGTCGTTCCATAGGTTACCTTGGTTAAGTGGCAGCAAGGCATCCGTTTAAATGGCTGATGTATTGCTACTGCCACTACTGATGATGATGAGCGTATATAGAGAGGAGAAACCCGATGCGAATCGTTGCAGAAGGATGCATGTGATTCGACCAAAACACAAAGTGACTAAAAAACGGTTTATATATATAGTCCGATAAAACAAGTGTCATGTATTTGTTACATCTTATCACAATATATGCCCTAGGGGTTATTCACAGTCGATGAGAAACGACTGAGGAGAAAGTCAAATAAGGACATGATTTCTGCGCCCGGCGCGGTTTCAGGCAAGTCAGTTCGAACGGTAGAATCCGCGCAGCGAAGACGATATGTGCTGTAGTCGGATACCGCGGATAGTAAGGCGCTGGCAGTGCATCCCGAGGAATTGATGAGATCGACAACCTCCTGCAACTGTGGAAAAAAACGTGCAGATGAGGATGTGAAAGGAAATAGAGCGGTCAATGGGAACGGAGAACGCTGCACAGTGCAATAGAATGCAAGTCACAGAAATGATCGTTGATCATTCATTGTCCCTGGCAAGGTACAGCTCAATACAATATAATCTACGGCGCATCTTTGAACAAATGTTAGCGATGAGGAATTTCGCGGTAGTTTACAAGAAAAAACCGAAACTGCGGCTTGACGAGAGTCAATAAAGCTAATTATCGAGAAGTGAAGACGAATTCCGTGAATCGCATGAAACAACAGGTTACACTGAAAACTTTAGATATAGATCAAGATACCAACCAACGATCTGACGGAGAGGAAGCACCCGGATGATTTCGAAATTACCGGTGACCAAAAAAAGCCGTGTTGGTGCCATCATCCGAGTGGAAAGCAAGAGAAAGGACAATTTAGTCCACTTCAGCTCAGTCAACCAGTGAGGATTCCAGCAATGATGTGCGATGGATTCAACTGCCTCGACTAGCGTCTCTAGAATAAAAATAACTAACCATGGTGAGAAAAAGGAAACAGGACGCCGGCAATTAAAGTAGAGGGGGTAAATAAAGTAGTGAGCAAAAGTAACCGCATGACAGTGGATGATGAGCCGCAGTACATCGCAGTTGAATGCCAGTTATGGCGGTCCACCGACATCACCCATGATGAATCAGAGTCGCTAACTTCTAAGTGTAAGGCTATGGGTTCGAATCCGGTGAGAGTTAGAGGTTGCGCGCTACAGGCGAGTTGCAATAGGATGAAACGACCGTCTAGCGCTTTGGCTGTCTATCTCAGTCTAACTGCGACGAAGCTTCACAAGACACCCGATAAACCGACTGCTACCTACGAAGAATCAGCAGTCGCCATAGCTGCTTGTATGCCACCTCGATTGGTGGCGGCTTGCAAAGGAAGCTGTGGCTCTGGGGGCCAGCCCTGTCCTCTGCACATTCATAACATGCATGACAGTGGAGGGTGAGCCATGCTATATCGCAGTTAGGTACCAGTCATGGTGGTCTGCTGTCATCGCCCACGGCTCAGTGGCATAAGTCGTTGACTAGTAACAGTAAGGCCATGGGTTCGAACCCGGTGGAATTTAGTGGGTGCACGCCACAAACGAGTCCCAATTGGACGAAACAGCCGTCCAGTGCTTTCCTGAATGTGTGGCTGAGTCTAGCTGTGATGAATCGTTTCCAAAATGAACCGCGTTAGAGTGCTGACAGATGCATGGAACCGAATGAAAGAGTGCCACTGAACACGTGGTTGTGGCATGGCAGAAAAGGTCTTTAACCGATGGTGTGATCGATGATCCCGAGAGAAAGAGATGGAGCGATTACCAGAGAGAAAGTACCATGATCACCACTGGTAGCATGTAAGAGATGATACCATAGGCTGGATGGTTATCAAAAGTTTACTAAAATAACAGATGGATCGAAAGAATTAAGAAAGTATCGGTGGACCGAAACTAGGTAGACTAGTGCGAGGAACAGAAGATGCAGCCGTTGAGAGAATTCAGATAAGGAGAACAACTATGATTCGGGTATCGAATTGCGGTGGATCGAGTTGTGACAACTCACGTCGCCAGAAAGGTGAGAAAAGGAGGTTATACACAAATGGGATATGAAGAAAACGGAAACAAAAAGGGCGCGAAACGAATTGGCATGGGATGAAGGTTAACAGTTAGAATGCAAGAAACCGAATGCTGGAACCGCACTGACTGCGAGATTGTGCAATATCTGGTAGTCTCCATGCACTGGTGTGGACTATCCCGGGGTCCCCTTTAACGAAAACCGCACCAAACCGGACAAATATCTTATGCAAACTCCTTCGCGTCTGTATGCAACATCATCGACTGGCCATCTCGAGATTTCGTCCAATTTGGTACAGCAACAGCGTACAATGCACACCGAT